TTATAACCTTCTTCATGCCAAGCTGTAATAACAATCTTGAACAAAAAATCTCTACTGTTATAATGAGAAAAGGGGGTGGGGTGGAATATTTTAAGCAGTCAAAGCACGTTACTTATATCAATCTCAAATTAAAGCCTTGTACAAAGTTGCAAATTAAAACTTTGTGTGTGGGAAAGAAATAATAAAATGCACATATATTAATACATTAAATGCAGACTTAGATTGATTATGTGTTATTTGCAAATTTTAAAAAAATATTCTAGGTGCCACAGAGTGACACTGTAAACATATTTATGGTATGTTTTGGTGGCATGATTGCATCTTAATTGCATGCAACTGACATGGCCATGTAAATAAATCTCTTTTTTTTTTTTAAAAAAAGTGGCACACTTCAAGAGCAAGTCTAAAATAGAATAAAAACTCAAACAAGTAGAAGTGTTTACAATAATTTATCAAAATTTATATTTAAATTACTGATTTACAGAAGTACGTTCATGTACACATATCCCCCATCTCCCTTTAAATGTACACAAAAAATGTATAAAACCTCATATATTAACTATACGTAATATATATGAAGTCATATAACTATTTTGGTTATACATGTAGTTTAGAGGCAATATAAACATGAAAGATGTTTTTAAAATGTAATTATATAAAATAAATGTCTTGTTTTGGGGATTTTCAGGTATTATAGGGCTCTAAAAATTGATGGTCCGCAGGTCTGGGGCCAGTGGACTTTTAATCAGGACCAGTATATTTTAGAGGGCATGTATCCTTTGATCAAGGCAGTGTTCTTTAAAACAAAACTTAATTCATTTACAGTCAGGTTAGATAACTTGATGGAGTTGACTGCATGCTGCAAGTCCACATTTTGTCTCTTCTTGTTCTGTTATCACAGATTACAGTTGTACTATTGATTATCATAGTAAAACAAAGCATAACTTAATTTTATAGTTTTGGGACTGTCTTTTGAAAATATATTGGCCTGGTGGGGACATGCAGTGAAAGTAATGAGCTGACCAATGAAAATTTTAAGTGCTAGCCCAAGGGACCAGTGAGGAAAAATAATTAATTTTAGCCGTGGATTAAATATGCATTTCAGCACACAAAAATTCATGGAAGAATAGATTTGCCTGTTCTGCTAATTACCATGTTTCACAATGTATCTGTCTCCTGTGCAGAAGTGTCCTAATTTCTCTCTACATGTTTGTAATGGTCTTACATCAACATTTTTTTGACAAAAGATTTAAATAAGAGGCCCAAGGGCCTTACTGGTCACCTGAGTATAATACAACACTCTACAGGGTACACATAAGTATAAAATATAACAAAATTTTCCAAAATCAAGAGATAAAGGATGAACAAGAATCAACAAAAGAAACAGTCTGTACTTGTCTCCATTTGTCACTATCACTAATTTCCAACTAAACAAAACAGCTGCTTGTCATAATGAGCACTATTAAAATCTAACCCCATTCTCTCATACATCAGTCTCTTTGTTCTTTGGAGTATAATTTAATGTACAAAGATAATTAAGGTATTTTTGTCTATTTACACCTGTTGCTTATTATAATTTTGCATCCTCCTTGCCTCTTGGATGCCCCAAACCCGCTCATCTACAGCCTATGAAATTCACAATTTTGGAAGCACACAATTACTCACCATAACTATGCACTTAGTTTGTTTGCTTAATACCCAAGGGCAGAGAACATTTTCAAAGAAATCATAGATATATATATATATTTTTACTATGAATACTCCCAATATCGGAGCCTATGATCCTGGGGACAAAAATTTTACAATTTCGGAAGACTAAGCACTCATGCTCACCATAACATCTGCGACATGTAAATAGGCAGTAGCTGAGAAGGATTTTAAAGGAACTAGTAAATTATAATATTTATCTCTCTTCACTGAAGCTATGTGCCAAAAATGATTAAAATTGGTTCAGTGGTTGAATAGAGAAGCAGCAGAAAATAATCAAAAGTTAACAATAGTCAAAAGTTTACAACCAACATATGACTGATGGCAGATAAATACTAACTTAGCAGTAGCTATCGTTAGGTCCCCAGAGTTACTATGGTGACATGAAGGGATTTTCAAAGGATTCTTTCAAGATCCTGTTTATTGAATTCAGTTTTATCAATAATTCAGCCAATGAAAGAAGTGAATAAAAGAGCCAATGGTAGAATTTATCCTAAAAATGCCCAAAACTCAACAGTTATTTAATAGTGGCATAAATTAGATATCATAATTGACAGAATTTAAAGGTCTTTGAAAGTCAGTTATTCATGTTATACTGCCCTCAATATTTATTTAGCTTTAATTGCCTTAAAAAGTAACTTAGTAAACATGGTAAAGGGTACTTAGGTGTGAAGAACAGCAGGGGGGTATTATTTTTTTCCTTGATTCCTTGGTCTATTATTCATGCAATTAACCGGTAATGTTCAATAACCTCTAACAGGTCTGGTCTTGGAGGGTAGATAATAATTCAACATCACACAGTCAACAAGGTGGTACTAAATATAGTCTGTATGTTTATTCATTTATCAGGCCAGTAGGAAGCAATTTCTGTTTGGGGGTGAGGTGGTAGTGGAGGCACAACCAAGCAAAAATTCCTTGACACGCAAAAAATAAATTGTACAAATTATATATATATATATATATATAATTATATGTATATCATATATATCGATTAATTAATTTTTTTAAAAGAGTCATCAGACATTTTCTATATTACACTGAAAGTCAATTAATTTGGGGATTCCAAAACCCCTCTTTTAAGACTTTCAGTTTTCGGATTTGTATGGTAATCTATGCTAATTAACCTGAAGTAGCATTAAAAATTACTAACATTAAAAACCCTTATTATAAATATCTCTTGCCAAAAATTAGCAGCTGCTTGTGTGACTTTATAACCTTTCATATGCTCCAGGTAACACTCAACCTAAATTAATATATTTCTTTCCACAAAATATCTCCAACCAAAAATCTGTCATCCAGCACAGCACAGCAAATATGACACAATGAGGCAATATATTAAATAGTACATCATTTTCTGTGGTTCAAACAGTCACTTACTCAATCAGACAAATTAGATAGTGGTAATGTCTATGGCCTCATCATTCTCTGTTATCATTGTTGGTCAGAGAGTGAAAAAATTAACACTTTTAATTAACTTTATACAAATTTACACAAAGTCTGATGATTTTTAAATAAATCTGTTATTATTTACATATATCAATTTGTAAAATGTTGAACTTTTCTTATGCAAGAGAATCTTTCATGTGCACTAGTTAGATAATAAATTTGAAAAAACAAAGCATCACACACAACATCTGACAGTATTATTTTTTGTCATATCAATTTCAAATGTTCAATTCACCAGATTTTATTTTTTAAAAATATGTCGAACAAAAGTTGGAGCAGTAAAAATGACTATGGATTTTATCTTTATTTACATTTTCATAAGGACCAAACATCAATATGTTATCAATATGGATATTAAAGTAGCTGAATAATTTACAAGATTCTACTCAACCATCAAGTTCATCAATTTTCAAAAAAATCATTTTCTATTCAAACCCATGTGGTTCATGTGTACACGTCTCAAGTGGTATTAGAATAATATTATTTAAGTTTGTAGCAGTACCTATCAAACTAGGTTTAACTTATAATTTCTGGTAATATTTATTGCAATACTACATACATAGCCAATAGGAACAGATGGGCTGAGTTCAATGTCATAGTCTACAAAGTCAATAAGTATTCAATCTGCCCACCCAATTCCTAGTCTATAGCCCTAATTCATACAGTGTGTTTAATACGACCCAGATATATCAACTAGCAGCTAGGGCACTGCTGCAGTAAGGGTAGGATCTGTAACACAGACATGGCCTTTATCATTATGCATGGCCTTGACCTATACTTCTAATTGACCTTTATTATAAGGGTCAATCATCCCAGGTTCTTTTCATAAACACTTAATTACTGACAAACAATTTATTAACTTTTTAAACATTTAACTACATCATAAACTATGAATACTGTATACAGGGTTATTTTCACCCAGTGTTATTTTTGCCATTTCACACTTGCAAAATTTTTCGCCCCGCTTTTAAATCGCCCAGTCAAAATTTTTGTTTAAGGGCAAAAATAAAACAGGGGCGAGAATTTCCCTGTATACAGTAATTTCTAATACAGTTGAACTTTGATATCTATTAACCACTGATATCTAAAATACCATGGATAAGTCAAAGTGGTTAAGAAGTCCTAACCACTTATCTATAAAGTATTTTACCTTGGTTATCTTAAATCAATAGATATCTTGAAGTTTTATCTTGGTCTTATCAAGTTTAAGATAACAAGGTTAGGCTGATCTTAAATTTTACATTTTGTTACTTTATATGATTGATTTCAAAGTTTTATATCCCCTCAAAAAAATCAGCTTCATTTGTAATAAAACATAATTTAGATTCAGGTCTGTAGAAATCTTAAACTAACATAAGAATGAACTTTCAGAAAATTGTAAATGAGAAGCTTTACAACAATAACAGGTACTTTGAAGGAAGAAAACAAGACAGGAAACTCCACAATTGCCGTGTCACCTTGAGTCATGACATTTCCAAATGTTATAAATAAATCAGCGTCGCTTGTACACAGATGTCTAACATCTCAAACCTCAAGGATCAGGTTTTATTCCAGAATTGTCAAATAATTTTTTAGCCTTATCAAAAAAATGATTCAATCAAAATATTTCAGGAAGTCTAAAAATATCAAATAAAAGAAAATATACTTCTAAGATGAATTGAAAACCACTAACACTTTAAATTTGGGAAAAGTACATTATCGTTAAGTTAAAAACATTTTAAATTAAAGTTTACATCTATTTTTTTTTATTCTAGAGTACAAGCAAAGTGTACATACATTACTAGGTATAAATCAATATGTCCCTGATTAAATTATTATATTCACCAAAGAAAATTATGTTACCGTACCTTTCTTGGTCTTTGCATTCCAAATGCACATGACGGAGGATTTTCCATAGAATTGTTATTATAGACAGGATAAGAGGAATAGCCAGGGGGGCTACCACCAATTTGGGGGGACATTTTAGAGCAAGATCTCTGGGGATCTGAGTAAAAGGTAGATGAACTGTCCTGTCTTAAGCAATCCATATGAAGATTATGCCCATTATAGCGATTCTGTCTGCAACTATCTGGAAAATGGTCAGGTCTCATTGTCTGCCTGCTATAGCCATTAGAGGGATAGTGAGTGTCTGGCTCTAGCTTGACCCTGCTATATAACATTTCACACACTGGCTGTCCATTACTGTACATGCTAGTTGAGCAAGGGGGAGATTGAAGAGCAGTAAAACTACCTTCCATTGTTTTAATGTAACACAAAACTCAATCACTACAAATTATGTCCTTATCAAATGAAAACAATGCGAACAGCAGTATTAACACTGCAACTGCTTGGAAATTCCTTGATTCCAGATTTATGCAATATCAAAATACAGGAAACATTTGTTTCCTGGGATGCTTCAATATATCACTTGAACTAGTTTCTAAACAATGCGCTGTTAGATCTTCCTTTTCACAAAACAGTGTTTCCTGAGGAGGTGTTTCTATGGTAGTGATTGACTGAGGCTTGAAAACCTCCCAGACCTTGATCGACACAGGCCACAAAGTCAACCACACACTTAATCGTATATCACTGTAATGATGAAAAACTCAAGGTGTCATGCCTTATTACTAAAATATCTAAACCATGTCAAGATAGCGAGGGGATTCCTATATTATGGCTCATTGCTCAGATGCACATATGATCATGATATGTTATTTTAACAAGTTCCCACCCACTTTGCAAACGCACATCCTGTAAAATTACTCGGAAAAACTAAAAACCCCTGGACTATTGTGTCATCAATGTAAACAAGTTTTATTTGGTTTGTTTTTGTGTAGACCTACAATTTTTAGCTTTCATACGAACTATCACTTACAACAATTGCAGAGCTGTTGACGCCTGGTCAGAAGATGCTAAGGGTGAAGTTGAAATATGTTGACCTTATTTCAATTAGACTTCCACTAGCTATTGTAAACGACAATCCTTTTCATTTCCAAGAATCAGCTGTCTCCTTCATTTCTTGGAAATGAGCATCCATGCTTCTGTAGTGTTTCGTGCCCTTGAACATTCAGCCCCCCTCGGATCTTTCTTACTAATGTAAACTTACACAGTAACGTTAATATTTTTGTACATTTATAATTTGAGAAATAAAAATAAGCATTTATAATTTGATAAAAATCCTGAGAAATAAAAATAAGCCCATGTTATTACAAAATGATAACATTGATTACAATTCTATATTAAGGATAATGTAACATGAGTGATTAAGTTTGACATTGAGAAGTGCATCACCACACTGTACACGCTTAAATAAAAAGTAATGGTTCACTTTAATGAATTTACAAGAAATGAAACACTCATTTGATAAAAATCCTGACAATTTCTTTCTGCATGTAGGCCCAATGCTTTAAATATTTTACAGTAAATAAACGACAATAAAGAAAATAAGTGATTAGCTATTAATAGTTTCTGTTAAGCTAATAAAATATTTATTCATTTTCTTCTTTTATCCACGCTTATTCTTGTCTGATATGGAGCGAAATTAACTGGGAATGAAAAAAGTATGCCTTAAGGTGCATCTATTTACCCAAATATGCAAATAATGTATGGTAAATAAAGAAACAACAAGCACCAAAACTCAACAAACGAAAAAATATAAATTAAAATTGTAAATATAAAAACTTTCTCACAAATAGAATTTCAATAAGGACAATAAAATTCGCTATACAAGTGGCTGAAATTATATTTTCATATAGATATAATTACCTTGGTTACTTTCGTTTTGATAGAAACGGTTGTGACTAATTGCAGACAATCAGAATATTTATTATTGGATCTATAATTATAACTTACAAGAAAAAAAGGAACTTACCCATTTTATTAAAGTAAAGCACACTGACAGGTCAGAAAGTGACTTTTTGCATTTTGCATTTTTTATATTTACATTTATAAGGATAAATGTTTGTGATGGGGATATTTCTATTTAATTAATATAACCCTAATAAGCCTCATTATAAAGACCAATCTCCCATTCAGAGTTGGCATTCGTTCCTCTCTCAGTGAATGTATGAACAGAACAGAACAGAACAGAACAGAACATTTTATTTCTAATTTAGAGCCCATAACACTAAAAGACAAGTATGATATTGTATGGGCCGATGGTAGAGAGTGTCATAAAACTTCAGAATGGACAAGTCCTTCTCTCTCCATTGCCACTCATGTTATGAATTAAGTATCAACTAACCAAAGTTAATCAAGTTTTAAAAAAAATAGAAGATGGGGGCGGGTTACATAATCATCAATGACCTCATTTAAAATTTGCTCGTCTTCGAACTCTCCCCTCCCCTTTTCCCGCTTCATCGGTTGTAAAATATATGGTACATTATATCGAAAAAAACATTTTTAAGTTTAATAATTATAATTGAACGTACACGTCCATTTTAAAAAATGATTACTTCATTACTGATATACCAAAACTAATTTAAGAAATCAATAACTGATTCTTTCAGATCAACATGTTCACAGTTATTCGGGAAGGAATGCTGAAGGAGGGTTGAATTAAAAAAAAAAAAGAATGCATGCATCTATTGCACATAAAGTGCTGTATATATATATTGCATTTTATTTGCATTTCCCTTTTTGAAAATGACCTTTTGCTGTCAATTAATTAAGGTAATTCCACCCTCGATCCTGTGACGTCATTGGTTTTTGCAAAAATAAAAAATGTTATTAAATTAAATTCATACCCAATAGAACAATATCTTTTGGAAGAATGATTTTCCATAGATGTAATGATAAATATTGTTTGGTAAAAGAATTTAAAAATTGCATATTTCCTCTATTTAATCAATTATTCAATCTTTAAAAATTATTGACAAGGGCAATAATTCCTGCTCAGGTAGCTTCATTCAGGCATTCTCTTTATATTGTACTTCTAACGTAAAATAGTTTCCATGATATTCACAATTCAAAAGTATCTTATAAGTAGCAAGTATTTAGGAACTTTCAGCATCATAAATGCATTTGACTCATTTTTTACATAATATTTATGATACTGCTAAATGAATAATTTTTTATGCTGACACGTGCTTCTGTTTATTTACGTCTCCCATCTTTTAAAATGATATGGTAACTTATATACATTTTTTTGAAATAATTGGTAAATTTAAACTTTATTAAATGAAAAAAAATTCAATTTTTGTACTTTTAACCATCAAAATTGTAAGCGTGGAAAGACCTTAAATAAGGAAACTTTCATTCAATGAGCGCCCTTTAAGGGGCCCCGATCCTCTGCTACAAATTTCACTAACAAAATTTTTAATTTCTAAATATTGATTTTCATAAACAACAATATTTAACATTAGAGCCACATGGAAAATACTTTGAAGTATGAAGCGCGGCTTATTTTTCCAGAAATGATTTTTATGTCTGATCAGTATATAAAGAAATGACCTTACATGTACAGAGGACAGAAGGAGTAACGATTTATTATCACATCATAAAATTTAAAACATGAGGTGTGTATATGAAAATACATGTAATACAATACTTAGTATCATATCTATTAAAATCATTTTAGAAAATATCATACAGCACTGCTTCCTAAGTCAGAATATCACGTTGTATGTGGTTGTAAGAAAAAAAAATACATCTGTGAAGAGGAGTTATCTTTCTTCTAAATATTTCTTCATTTGAAAAAAAAAATGTAATACTAACAACAATTCTGTATTTAGTACTTGAAACATTAAACCATGTTTAAAATGGTCTTTAAAAAGATATAACTTATTCAATTTATAAGGTTTTTGAAATTGGATTTAAATGTTTTTTTTTTGTTTTTTTTTTTGGATAAATATATGATTAAACAATTGGGAAGAATTTGGCAAAAGAAATACAAGATAATGTTTCTATCTTGGGTTCGATTTCATCGAATTGACAACTCATAGGTCTCAATTAGGAAACTGATTAAGAAAACTATGAATGGTATTCATATTTTAAACTTTGAAAGTTATATCTCTTATCAGAGGGTCCGTACCCCTTAATTTTTTTTCACAGTATGATGAAGTCTCAACAAAAAATACTTTTATTGACTCCTCTCTCATCTTCAAATCTTATGCGCCGTTTTACTTGTCACTGAATTATTTTCTGGCTAATTTGAAAATCTTTGCGACCCGCCTGCTATAAACTATATCGTATCGATGATTCTAAAAACAAACCCAGCATCTAATTAAAAATTTAAAACATAGTGAGCTTCACCAAAAGAGCGGAGAGGATCTGCACCCCTCCTCCTTACGACGTCAGGGGTCCTGAGCCAACACGTTTGATAACTGCAACGTGTTGAGTCAGGACCCCTGGCATAGCAAGTATGCCGATGGGCGCCTGCTTTCTATGGGCATGCGTGGTTTCCTCACAAAAAATAAAATGAAATAAAACCAGAAGTCTCTGTCGAGACTGTAGCTCTACTGGTTTATACTTAAAAACAAAGGAAGAGAAAAGTAGCAGTTGGGACCTGAGGCAATAAATAGAAAAATGATCCTTGCCACTCATCAAAATAAAAACCGATGCACATAATTATGTATCTTAGTATAGTCTACTTGTGTGCCAAGTTATATTGAAATCGGACCAAAACTGTAGGAGAAGTAGCATTTTGAAACAATTTCACAGAAATTTATATTTTTAGTAACCATGGCAACAACGTTCATCGAAATCAAAAACCGATGCACAGAATTATGTATCTTAGTGTAGTCTACTTGTGTGCCAAGTTATATTGAAATCGGACCAAAACTGTAGGAGGAGTAGCATTTTGAAACAATTTCACAAAAATTTCTATTTTTAGTAACCACGGCATCATCGTTCATCGAAATCAAAAACCGATGCACAGAATAATGTATCTTAGTGTAGTCTACTTGTGTGCCAAGTTATATTTAAATCAGACCAAAACTGTAGGAGGAGTAGCATTTTGAAAGAATTTCACAGAAATTTATATTTTTAGTAACCACGGCAACACCGTTAATTGAAATCAAAAACCGATGCACAGAATTATGTATCTTAGTGTAGTCTACTTGTGTGCCAAGTTATACTGAAATCGGACCAAAACTGTAGGAGAAGTAGCATTTTGAAAAATTGATTACAGACAGACAGACGGACAGCTAGACGGACGGACGACGGACGCATTACTATCGTATAAGCTCTTCTGGTCTCTGACCAGTAGAGCTACAAATAAAATAAACCCAACATACATTAGTAGATCAATCATTCGTGCAAAATTCTAGAGAATGCTCTTACCTGCATACTCCTATTGGAAATCACTTGAATTAGTTTTTGATGGATTTTCATTGTAAGATATATCACACCTTAATTCTTATCAACCAGACGCTCAATATCATGCCAAATATCGAAAAATGTTCTACCCCCTCTATATTTAAAAAATGTATTTATATATAGAGGGGTAGAATTTTTCGATACTTGGCATATTGAGCGACTGACTGATAACAATTCAGGTGCCCGTGGAAATATTGAAAACAATAGAAATTACAAGACATAAAAAAATTGTGTACGTATGTAAGTTTTTTTTTTATATGTATATCACAGGTGCTTGAGGACAGGATCGACCCACCCCATCCCCCAATATAGACCCTCGGGCCTGTTAGACTTTTTTCACATAAATTATATATGGATGGCACATTTGTGATATAATCT